GGAGTTGCTAAACTTGGCAATTGAAAACTGAGGACGTTTTGTATTTTAGCAATCGCCATCGAGTCTATCGCGCTGCCGCAGCTGATCAAGAGCTACATCAAGCACCGCTACGACACCATGGATGGTCGCCATCGCTCGTGCTCGAGAGCCACGCGATGCCAGCGATCTAGCTCCGTTTACGTAATTTTTATTGAATTTTTGAGTTGATTAGTCCCGCACGAGTTATGCTCAGTTGAACGCCAGTAGCTCGTTGCATTCGTGTCTTGCTGTGGCTTATAGCAGCATTAACTCACGTGGTGGCACATCTTTGACTGCTGCTGTCGTTGAAAGTCCTTCGATTACCGCGAATTGAAGCGCCGTTGGCGCAGCCACAACAGCTCTCGTTGGGTTCCTGGATTAAAGACGTTGTATATTTCACTTGTCCTGCATACTCCTCTGTCCAATTCATTGCCGTAGCAACTTAGATTGCTATATACATGTATGCTGTTGCTTATTCCATGATTTCTAGCTAGTCTTGCGCCGTGAGCACAGTGTTGTCGTCATCGTCGTCGGCGGCGGACACTTTGAGGCGTTTGTTGGACGATTCGACCGACGCCAAGACCGACTGGCTCGCGAGCGCATGGAGCTTCTTCTTGTGGCGCTTGCCCTTCACAAGCAACGCACCATCCTGGTCACTCGGCAGCTGGAGCCCGCACGCGTCACAGAAAAACTGCCGGTTCGAGACGTGGCTGTCGTCGTAAACGCGGTCTGGCGCATTGGAGCCCACCGACACGTCAAGCTCGGACGCGCGGGCAGCGTACTTGGCGTACTTGGCTGTGTACTCGTCCAAGTACTCGCCATTTGTTCGTTTTGGCGTGGTGGTGTGTTGGATTTGTTTTCTTTGTCTGGGTCGATGTCTTGGGTTTCGGGGTCGGATGATACTAGTATGGATCTTGATGCTGAATGATGATGGCGTTCGCGGTGGCGGTGGATGCTGGCTGATTTGTGCTCTTCGCTCAGTGCTCGGTGCTCATGTTGGTTCTGTGTTGGATTTGATGTTGGTTGTGGTGCTTCTGACTGTTGTTTTGTTGTTGGTTGGCTGGAGCGTCGTCTTCCTCGGATACGTCGTCTTGTACAGCGTGGCGATGAGGTCCTCATCGCTCAGCGTCGCTTGGTCTGATGGCGCGGCTCGCAGCAGGTGAAGGCGTCGACCGACGGCCGCACCTCTGAGAACGCGGCCACTCGTCGGTTGGTTTCGCTTGCGGAACGGCTGAAAACGCAGAGTCCATGGAGCCCGCGTTCTTGACAAAAGCATCACCTTTGCAAAACCGATCAAGCCAAACGATCGAGCTAATTTCTGTTGGAAATTGCTCAAGTGATGGATGCGCCGGTATTCTCATTTAGCGCGGCGCTATTAATAGCTCGCGGCGCTGTGTCGTTTGTTGTTGAATTGGGTCCTCTATTACAATAGATAAAACTATGCTAAATAAAATTGTCAGACTTTCTTCGTTGTGTGTACTCGGTTGAGGGACTTGATTTAGGCAGGCGGAGGCAGGAGCGCAACTGCTGTGTCGTTTGTCATTTTGACTTGCATTGCGCTTGGAGTAGAACGTATGAGCACATGAACTTCCCAGTGTGAATGCATATAGTACTATCTATATACATGAACGTATTCCGCGTTATCTTCGTTACAAAGAGTTCGCATACGTAGTGCTACGCCTGAATGCGTGGGAGTTGGCACCAGCACTTGGTCGTTAGGAGTGAGGTGGACTGAGCTGCGCACGGAGATTTATTAAAATTACTAGTAATAAATATGCTGGTTCCATTATTAGTACGGTACCCAACACGGCGAGATAGCTAGAAAAGAGGCGGTTTGACGTACAGTCCATCCAGCAGTCTGAGCTGCAGTCAGTCAGACCCTTTCTTGCGACCTGCAGATCGTACCTCGATAAGACTCTAGTCTCACCCTATCCAATTTAGCACAGCTTTTAGCACACGCTTTCACAGATGCCCCTCCATTGCGACATTACGCATACTGAGACTAGCAGCTCGGTTGTACAGTGTATGGTCCGTAATGCAAGCAACCAAGACTAGTTCGCACCAAATTTCGATGTCAGAGTGCTCACTTGTCAATTTCCATGTTGGCACCCAAGATTATTGTTGCCGCGGCGCTCGCGCTCCTCGTGTCGGCCGACGATGCCAACAACCAGCTCGTGACGGACCTCGACAATGGGTTCGATATGAACATCCTGCGTGAGATCCATGGCGACGACGACGTCGACCTCTCCAACCGCTTTGGCTCCGACACCAAGCAAGACCTCTGGTTCACGGGCGCGATCCTCGACCACAAGAACCCGAGCGCCGGCAACTGGAGCCAGCGCTACCACTACAACGACGAGTGGTATGGCGGTCCCGGGTCGCCTGTCTTTCTCTACATCAACGGCGAGTGGGAGGCGAAAGCGCAAACCGTCGCGTCGTCCCGCTCCACGATGAACGACTTGGCCAAGAAGCACAGGGCCATGGTCGTCGCTATCGAGCACCGGTATCGAAGCCTGTGTCAGATATGGATTGGTATCAACGACTCTATTTTAGGTACTATGGCGACTCGATCCCGAACGGCGACCGGTCCAAGGCCGCGATGCAGAAGTATCTGTCGTCGGACGCCGCGCTCGCCGATCTGGTGCGTTGTGCA